GTAGTCGTATCCGTTGTCAAGGGTCAATCGACACATCGTCGTTTTCCGGTGCCAAGGGAACTTACGCCACATGGTCGTATTCGGTGTAAAGGTCAAATACGCCACATAGTCGTTATAGGGGCGAAGTGGTTAATTATTATGGAAGTTTTCTGGAGTGAAATTTTCAAAATTTTTCTTATCACCTCTCTAAGGAGGGGAGCATCACCACCTGCCCTTCACAGATCTCGATGCCCTTTGGATATGTGGTAGGGTCCCATGAGTGTACTAAAACCCTGAAGTGGTTTGACTCCATGGCCACATTTGCGCCCACCACACCCACTCAAAGGTGTAAAAAACACGAAAAAAGCCCTGTTTTCACGTACTTCAACTGTCACCAAAAATACAATTTTGCTCGGATTTTCATAAAATGTACATTTTTGTGATCCCAGATACTTGTATGATCATATCCAGTAGATATTTTTTCGAATAATTCATCAGCTCGAAAATATCAAAAAAGTTGAGATTGCTACTGGATATGATCAAACAAGTATCTGGGATCACAAAAATGTAAATTTTATCAAAATCTGAACAAAATTGGATTTTTGGTGAATTTTTGAAGTTGGTAACTTTTGTGGTTTTTATCCTTTTGAGTGGGTGTGGCGGGCGCACATGTGGCCATGGAGTCAAACCACTTCAGGGTTTTAGTACACTCATGGGACACTACCACATAACCAAAGCACATCAAGATCTGAGGGGGGCAGGTGGTGAAGCTAAGACAAAGGGCGGAAAATTAGACTATCACATTGCACCAAAATTTTACATTTACAAGCTGACACACCACCATATAATTGCTAATTTGCACTACCTTGATTTTGAGAAGGCCGTATGTAATAATAATACTTATTGATGCACGGTTCTCGAAAAACCATAAGTATGTATGTGCATAAGTAAATATTATAAATATGCTTGTATTCTGTACTTTTTAAAGTTATGTACCTTTTTGTATACCTAAATTTAACTAATTTCAAGCTATGAGGTAATTTTTGAATTTCGGGAAAAAAATCCCGGGATTTCCCGGGATTTAGTACGGCTTTAACCGGGATTCCCGATTCCCGGGATTTAAAAAATTGTCCGGGATTGCAATCCCTATTCCGCACTACCAAGAGGATAATACACGCCCGGTGTATCTTTAAATGAAAACCTTTTCTCGCTCTATTCAGGATTTATGCCATAATTGAAGATGATATCCTGACCAATAATGAAATCACAAAGCAAATTCTCTGCGACATGGAATTTATGCTCTAATAATTTATGACCAATTCTTATTTTAAGCGGAATGCAACCAGTGATTTTCAATTCAGAATTATTACCACATTTTATCGAAAGTTGTGACTGCTCAAATTCACTATTAATTTTACAAGCTGATTTTGAACTAATTAACGAATAAGTTGAACCACCATCTAAAATTGCTTTGAAAGTAGAACTAAACTGACCTACTGTGTAAAATTCTACTGTGGGAATGGGAGGTTTATTTAATGTTGGGAGAAGCCTCGGCTGGAGGATTCGTAGGTTCTCCCTTGGTAGTTTAAATTATCATTTGCATTATTAAAATTTGAACTACTCGGAACTGCGTTAAAAGAATTTGGATTAAAATTTGAATTATTATTCCCATTACTATGCTGTGGATAGTTTACATTTGAATTGTAATTTGGTTGACCAAAAGAATTTTGTGGTAAAAATGGACTCGGATTCTGATTTGGAAAGTTAAATGGATTTGGATTCTGAATTGGAACCATGTTCAGCACTACGTCTGTTGCTGTACAATCACGTGCATAATGACCAAATCGTTGACACCTTCTACATCTCACATTAGTCAAATCAAGCTGTCAGTAAAAGTGAGGTGATTTAATATTGTTTTTTTTAGATATAACTATAAAATTTGTCTATTTCCTTATTGATTTTCAAAATATTTCATGATATTTCATGAGATTTAAATGTGTTTAATTCATTTTAATGGGAAAAACAGAATTGAATGGGTTTAACGTTTTTGTGTGGTAATTCTGAAATTAAGATACTGGTTTAATTAAGAAGATGAAAGTGTTTGTATATCATTTAATTTGTTAATTTGCAAATACAGTAGCACTTTGTTTGACATTTCATGATTGCATTTCATGATGTTAATTTAGTTTACTGTGAAAATAATAATCGACCAAGTTTAATGCTTTTATGTGATATTTATAAAATTACGGTGTCATTACGAGTGCATCTGCACGTAAATAGCGTTCAACTTGATATTTATTTTGTGGATGCATAAATGTTATGTTAAATTATTCACTATAACCGTTTTCCTTCCTATATCTTATCCAGATTTTGATAAGCACAAAAAAATACTAGGCAAATTCGGGAAAGAAAAAAATGGAATTTTTATACTTAGAGTATTTTTACGTGCAAAAATTAAAAATAGCCAAAATCAAATCTAAAGTTGTGTTTCATTAAACATTTTTCTCCATATTTTAGTGAATCGACGTCAAAGCCTTGACAAAACTTTTCCCACCACTATTATTTTTTTATTTCCTCAATCCTATCCAAATTTTGATAAGCCAAACAAAAAAAAATTCCTGAGAAACATGGAACTATGAATATGACAATTTTTCAACTTTTAAAAATTTTTACATTTCGAAAACTTGTGCAAAAGACTTATCCCACGGCTGGAAAACTATACCCTTTCTTTTCTTTGTTCCTATTTTATCCAGATTGCGATAAGCACAAAAAATCCTAGACAAACATGGAACTGAAATTTGTATACTACTTGAAATTTTTAAATTTTGAAAATCCTGTCTATTTCAAATTCTATCTACGTTCTATCAGATTTCCTATTAAATTATGTTTAATTCTTCATGTTTTACAAATCGATGCAAATACATTGTATGACCCTCTATCTCCTATACGAACCGATTCCGGTCCGTCCTTCACTTACACTACCTGTGACCCCGACTCAGCCCTCCCTGGATGTTGCGGATGACCCAATATTTATGAAATTGATGACCATGACGACTATGGAAAATATGAGAGGTGCTGGATGCGATGGGAGGATGAGTGCCGACCAACAATTAGTAGATGGAAGAAGACATGGTCACAATTGGAAGGTCCATTTATTACTGGCCAAGTTTAAGATCTGTACACGAGTTTTAAGATTACAAATGTCTACGAACTTAACTCCTCCTTCTCTACCATGAGTACAATTTACACAGACTGTCCATGAGAGGGAGCACACGAGGTAGTGGGTTCCGTGTGGTTACAATTGACAAAAAGTGTACTCAAAATTTTCCTCCTACTGAAAATGTACTCCAATTTTCCTCTTATCTAGATTTTGATAAGTAGAAAAAATATTCATAAAACAAAAATAATGAAACTTTTCATACTTCTACATATGATTTTTATTTTTTTGAAAAACTGTGAAAACGAAAAACTACCTTTTATCTGAGTTAGTTTTTAATTATATTTAATTTTCAATATTTTACAAATCGACGTCACAACCTTGACAAAAATTGTACCAAAAATTATACCACTGCTGAAAAAGTATACCAATTTTCCAGATTTTAATAAGCCCAAGAAACAAACATGGAACAGCTAAAATGAAAATTTATATCCTCCTAGAATTTTTACATTTTCAAAAACTTCTAAAAAATTTGTCATTCATGAGTAGATTGGAATATCATATTTAGGATAAGTAGTTATCAAATGTAAAAGTTGGCCATGTTCGTTGTGATGTAATTATCATTCATTTTGCAGTTAAACTATTTGCAAATTGTTATTGAATTATTTCGTAATTTGAATAAATTTTAGTGTTCCCGTAAAAACATAGTATTAATCAATTTATTAGGTTGATCTGTGATTTTCGTGATCCATCTTCAATTTATTTAAATCTGAAAAATAGCAATTGAGCGAATTTAACGCCTTTTTGGTGTAATTTTTAAAATTGGGATTTAATTAAAATTAAGAAGATCGCAAATTTTTTTCTTTCATGTATGTAACTCTTATTGAACTGATTGTTTTGCTCCCTGATTTTCATAATGTTTCATGTGATTTCATGGAATCTCATGATATTGAAATTTGAACTACCTATTTTATTTGGATGTTAAAATCATATTTGAGCGAGTTTAATCTTTTTTTTGTGATACAATAACATGAATTTTCGCAAAATTGAATTTCTGAATTTAATGCACTGTAGATTTTATGTGGTAGAATATCTTTGAGCAAACAAAATTCGTTTCACATCGTTGAAATATTTACAAAACGTACGCATTTTTGAAAAGAAATTTGTAAAAGATTTACGAATTTTTCAAATAAGGGTGTGGAAATATTTATATTTCTGAAAATTTACAGAAAATATGTTGAAATATGTAAAAATATTGTGACATTTTTGTGATTTATGCGAGTTTGGCAACACACCCACACAGTTTGACCGTCGATCGTGATCAAATGACGAAGGTGAACACATGTGAATTCATCAAAATGTGTGAAAAATAATAATTGAGCGGGTTTAACGTTTTTTTATAATAATTCTAAAATAATATAGAATTGCATGCGAATAGATTAATTTTTCTTCTGACCCTGACCTATGATTATCGTTCGGTTTATTATTTTGCTTTGAGATTTGCATGGTATTTGTCGTTACAGCAAATCTGCGGATGCAATTGTTTGTAATTATTTTGGATTATTTAAGAGGTGGAATAAATTGATGTAAAAGTACCCGTAAAAATTTATTATGTTTCTTACTCATCATGACAAACTAGTAATAAGAAGAGGACGGATATGTCTTTACGAAAAATGTGTATTTAATATTTAGAAAAAAATAAGAAACACGAAACACGTAAAAAAAGGAACATAAAAATAAGAATTTTCCCAAAATTTGTATTTGAGGATTTTTTGTGGTGAAATTTCTTTAAGCTAAAAAATTCATCTTTCAAATATTTACAAAATATGTGTATTTTTTTAAATTTGATTTTAATATTTACATATTTTTTAAATAATTGCGAAAATATTGAAACCTCGAAATATGTTCGAATAAGTAATTTTTTAATTTTTTTGCTCAATGCGAGTTAAGGAACACACCGACAAAGTTTTACCGTCGGTTGGAATCAAATGAAAAGCTTGAAAATATATACATATCCGCCCTCTGATCTTAATAATAATTAAGTGACATTTCCCTCTCTTTTCTACGGTCGCGCCGTGACATGGACGGAAAACTCTTGTGGCGACAGGCTGACGCCAAGTTCGGGGTCCGTCGTCGGCGGGGAGGTGCCAGGAAGGACGGAAAAGTTGAAATTTTGCAGTAATGTTGCGATATAAATTGGAATCACGGAATTCGTCAGCGTCACTCCGATGCAGTATCGTTTTCCTGTAAAAAAAATTTAGGAAATGATCTTCAATATTTCCGAAAATCAATTTATACGGTTTATGTATGCAGATTAGTAGTAAAATTGTGACCGAAGTAGCTTACTACGTTGGTAATACAATTTTATTACTGAGCGGTAACGATGATTGGGCAGGAAATTAAAATTTGTTTATCAATTTTTAAGTCCGGGATGAGAAATTTGATAAATTTTACTGAAAATTGAAGTCGATTAAGGATCGAATTTTAGTTACCAAAAATTTTCAAATTTGTTTCATCTAGGAATTCATTTCCGGATATGAAATTTCATAAATTTTATTGAAGAACGGGGTCAATTAAGATTCGAATTGTTGCTAACAAAAATTTTCAAAGTTTCCATCCTGGATTCAATTTCCGGATGAGAAATTTTAATAAATTTTAATTTAGGACGAGGTCATTTAAGGGTCGAATTTACTGGGAGATCATTGTTACCGTTCTGCAATAAAAAAAATTAGCTACGCATTCCTTGACAATTTTACTACTATATTTTGTATAAAATTTTTCTAAAATTTCAGAAATTTCCTCATACCAAAGCCAAATTGACAGACATGTTTGTCCTGGACGAATTCGCCCTTGTCATTGATGAACCGATCCGGCCTGAAGGTTTTTGGGTCACCCCAATATTCTTCGTCCATATGGACCGAGTAATGATTCGAAATTATTATCGTGTCCTAAAAATAAAATAAAATTTGTACAGAAATCAGCCCATTTATTAAAATAAAATATGCTGACCTTTGGAATCGTATACCCTCGAAGCGTCCAATTTGTCGGGGCTACTCTTGGAATCGGGATAGGAACAATGTTTCCGAGTCGGTGCGTTTCCAAAATTGTGGCTTGAAAATATGGCATTCTGAAAAAAACGATAAATTTGTAAAGTTTACGTAATTAGTTAATTTTGATAATGATTTAATTGCCAATTTACATAAAGGATGTATAAAACTTTACTGATATTGGTTGCTTTCAACGCCGATGATTAATTACGCTAAAATTTATATTCGTAAAATATCTAAAGATTACAAAATACAAAATGAGGTCGAGATTTTGTAAAAATTTAATTTTAACTACGGTAATTCATAATTTTTTAAATATTGTAAATAAACGGATCTGTTAAATTGCGACAAAATTAATGTTTTCGACATTGACGTAGGATTCGACAACTCGTCGCTAAAAATCTGCACATTCTTAATCATTCCTCAGCGCTGGAAACTTATTTTAAAATTCTGGACGACAAAATTGTAGAGCAGGTCGTTCCCAATTTTTAAGAAATATACATTCCAGATTTTGACACTTTTCCCGGAGGAGATCTCAAGTTTAAGAAGCCTTCAGAAAAATTGGAACTCATCGAAACTGGCTCAAAAAACTCACTCCCATTCCATCAATCAACTCACTGACTGCAAATTGGTCGTCAAGAATTTTAAAATAAGTTCCCAGAGGAGAGAAATGATTAAAAATGTACTGCGTCATCGAGTCCCTCGTTTCAAGTTTTGATTTTTTCTTACGCTGGTCAATTTATGTGACATAACAAAATTCAAAATTTCTCTTCTTACTTTTCAATGTCGTCCAACGTGGGGACCAAATGTCTTGGAACGACGGCATCAATCTCAGCTTGACATCTTTGCTGAACTTTTGGGTTCAGGGTGAGAAAAAGCACGCCATAATTTAACGTCCCGACCGAAGTGGTTGAGCCAGTTTGCATAAAATCTTCTATCATCATTTGCAAATTTTCCGCTTAAAGGGATAAATAGATTCAATCACTTATTTTTTTGCATACAAAAATTCATCCGAAATATAACAGGAATTTATGAATAATCATCAAAATCGACATTTTTACTCATTTCTCCACTCCGGGAACTTACTTTAAAATTCTGGACAATTAGGTCGTCCCAAATTAAGGAAATTTTGATTATCAAAAATTGGTTAAACATTACATTTTTCAAAAATTAATTTTGAAAATTAATTTTCACACAAGGACAAATAGATTCCCAGAGCGGAGAAATGATTTAAAATGCTGATTTTTTACGATTTTGGCATCCAGTCCTACGTTAAAAAACTTACTTGTATAGACCGATTTAGCATCATTTTTCGATTCCTCGATTTTTTTCAGGAAACAATCAATATAATTTTGAGGCTCTTGGAGATAAGCGCCTTCCATTTTTCGCTCGTTGATTAAACTCTGTAATTTCAAAATTCCCAGAAAAAAAATTTCAAAAAACCCAAAAATCCAAATTCAAAATCTCCAATACATCTTTATTCTCTTTTAAAATTCTTATATCCTCACCTGCGAATATTGGTGCGACTCTTCAAAAACTTTGGAAACATAATCCGTCTTCAGAAACTTTGGGAAAACTTTTTTCAAAAATGGGAACGAATGTACGGGATCGATAAAAGTTTGAGCTTTCGTCATGCCAAAATTTTTCTCGAGCATTTTGACCAATTTTGGATCATCGTGGGCATACCGCACGCCAGCGATCATGCACCAAAGCACGTTCAGTACGGAGAGGATGAACGTCGTCCGGATGGTTAAGGTGCCATTGGACGATTTAATTTCGGTGCGAAATTCAGTCACCAAATCGCAAATTTCCGCTTCAATTACGCTTTGCATGGAATGGCGCTGAAAAAATAAAAATAAAATTTTTCTGAAAACAATGAAATAATAAAATTTTAAGGTACGACTCGATGACTCGTTTTGAATCTTGCCAATAACAATTCTCCGACTAAATATGTACCTTACACCGTTTTCTACTTATCCAGATTTTGATAAGCGCAAAAAAAAGAATTGTAGATAAATACGGAATATAATAAACAGGAAATCTTATAAATTTTTACATTTTCGAAAACTTGCGTTATAAAAACTTCAATCACCTTATCTGAGTTACTTTTTAGCAAAAAGATATTTTAAAGATTTGTCAAATCGACGTGAAAACCTTGACAAAAATTTTCGCATTAAATAAAAACTTCAAACCTTATCCGGTTTTCGAATAAGGTTTGAAGATCCGACTTATTGAATTTCGACAGATTTTGATAAGCATAAAAAAATCATCAATGAACACGGAAAAGCGAAATGTTTTCTTTCCGCAATTTAATGGAAACTTTCATACGTCTTGAATTTGTACCATTTCGAAAAAATTTAAGGCAAGGCAAATAAATGAACCTGAGTTACTTCTAAATCGTACATTATTTTATAAATTTTACAAATCGACGTCAAAATCTTGACAAAATTTTTACCAAAAAGTTTTCTAATTTATTTAATACATAACCTCTACGCGTTTTCTTTCCTAATCTTATCCACATTTTGATAAGCACAAAAAATAATTGTAGACAAATACGGAACAGCAAAAATGGAAATTTTTGTACACTTTTAGAATTAGCATATTTTGGAAATCTTGTGTAAAAAAAATGTATAACAATATAAGACCTGACTTGCTATTAAATCATATTTATTCGCAATATTTTACAAATCGACGTGAACATATTGACAAAAATTCGAATCAAACTTTTCAAAATACTCAAGAATTATACCTTTTCTTTTCCCTATTCCAGTCTTATTCAAATTTGAATAAGCACCAAAAACAATCGTGGATAAATACGGAACAGATAAAAAATTGAAATTTTCATATTTTTACAATTAAAAAAACAAACTTCTGTAAAAAACTATATCCTCAAAATCTTAACCAGATTTGAATAAAAAAATAGAATCCAAGACAAAAATAGTGTACATATACTCACTCTCCATCCAAGCAGGAATGAACTTTTACAGAAATTGAGAATTCTGAGAAACTATACGCCACTATTAGTGGCGAACTTTCCCGTTATCATTATTTGAGATTTGAGATTGACAGTGACGTAGTTTCTCATAATTCTCAATTTCTGTAAAAGTTCATTCCTGCTTTGAAAAAGAATACTTCCAGTATTTTTACAGTTTGCCAAATTTGTGTAAAGAAACCTAAAAGAGTGTACAAGTTGAATGTACGGAACTGTTTAACTACAAATTAGTTTGAATAATTTACAATTTGACGTCAAAACCTTGACAGGAATTCTAACGAAAATTTTCGGACTAAAAATGTACTTCAACACGTCTACCGATTGTCCACTTATCTAGATTTTGATAAGCACAAAAAATAATTGTCGACAAACAAGGAATGTAAAAAATGAAAATTTCTGTAGTTCTACAATTTTTAAATTTCGAACAAACTTATGTGAAAAACTTAACCCAATCAAAGAATCGGATCTGGCTTTTAAATCGTACGTTATTTTTTTCAAAATTTCACATATCGAAGTCAAAATCTTGCCAAAATATTCTAACCAAAATTATCGCACTAATAATGTACTTAAAACCTTAACCCGTTTTCGACTTAACCGGATTTTGATAAGCGCAACAAAGAATCATAGTAAAGCACGGAAAAGCAAAATTTTTGATTCTTGAAATTTAAGGGAAACTTTATTTCTAGAATTGTTAAGTTTCGAAAAACGTCTCGCAATCAAAGAATGAAATCTTAGTTTTTTTAAAATCTTACATTATTTTCTAAATTTCACAAATCAACGTCAAAACGTGCGAATTTTCGCACTAAATATGTATTTAAGACCTTACCCCGTTTTCCACTTATCCAGATTTTAATATGCACGAAAAATAATTGTAGACAAACACGGAATAGCAAAATAGGAAATTTTAGTACTTTTAGAATTTTTACATTTCGCAAAAATATGTGTAAAAAATCTACTAAAAACTTTTAGTACTTTTACTTATATTTTGAAAAAAACTTAGCTAAAGTGCAAATCTCATCTGAATTGCTTTTTAACCACAACATATTCTCAAGATTTTACAAATCGACGTGAAAACCTTGACAAAAATTGCATCTAAAATTTTCGCATTAAATATGTACTTCAAACCTTATCCAGTTTTCGACTTATCCAGATTTTGATAAGCATAAAAAGAAACGAAAAAGCAAAATTTTTGCTTTCTGCAATTTAATGGAAATTTAATATACTAAGAATTTTTACATTTCGAGAAACTTAAAGTAATCAAATACATGAACCTGGATTGCTTTTAAGTCCTACCTTATTTTACAAATTTTAAAAATCGACGTCAAAATCTTGCACGAAAAGTGCACCAAAAAGTTTTCTCGTTTAATACATGACATCCACACGTTTTCTTCCCTAATCTTATCCAGATTTTGATAACCGCAAAAAAATAATTTTAGACAAACACGGAACAGGGAAAAAAGGAATTTTTTATATACTTTTAGAATTTGAATATTATGGAAAATTTGTGTAAAAAAACCTTTAACAATGCAGAACCTGACTTGCCATTAAATCATATTTATTCTCAATTTTTTTCAAATCGACGTCAAAACATTTACATAAATTCTAACCAAAATTTTCAAAATACTCATAAATTATACCCTTTCTTCCAATCTTATCCAAATTTGGATAAGCACCAAAAACCAATCGTAGACAAATACGGAACAGATAACAAAATGGAAATTTTCATACTTTTACAATTTGAAAAAATACTAGTGTAAAAAACTTGAAGGCTTTATTCAACCATATCTGAGTTCATGTGTAAGCATACATTGTTCTCAATATTTTACAAATTGACGTCAAAATTTGAGGTCAAAATTTCAACTTGACAAAAATTCTAAGACAAATCTTCCTCCTACTAAAAAACTATATCATAAATCTTATCCAGAATTTGATAAGCATAAAAAATAGAATCCGAGACAAACATAGAGTATACTAGGAGATATTTAAATACAAATTAGTTTCAATAATTTACAATTCTACGTCGAAACCTTGATAAAAATTCTAACTAAAATTTTCGCAATAAAAATGTACTTTAACACCTCTACCAATTTTCCACTTATCTAGATTTTGATAAGCACAAAAATGAATTATAGACAAACAAGGGAAAACAAAAATTGAAATTTTTGCACAACTAGTGTTTTTAAGTTAAAAAAACTTGACCTCTCCAGGAATCGCATCCAAGTTGCTTTTTAATCATGTGATTTACATGTTTGACAAGCATTCGAACAAAAAATAGCACTAAACATGTACTTAAAACCCTAATTTGTTTTCCACTCATCCAGATTTTGATAAGCCCAAAAAAGAATTGTATATAGACAAATCATGAACCTGGAAAGGGAAATTCTTTCCGGAATAAAAAAGATTGAAATTCCTATTATTTCCAGCATTTTTATATTTTGCAAAAAAAAAACTTGCACAAAAAACACAATTGTCCAATCGCATCTGAGTTGCTTTTTATCTATTTATACGTTGTTTTATTTAAGTTAATTATACGTTGCTCTAATAATTTGCAATTTGACGTAGATAAAATAGATGAACCTGAGCTGTTTCTAAATTCTACAGTATTTTCTAAATTTCACAAATCGACGTCAAACCCTAGATAAAAATGTACCAACAAATTTTTGATCTCAACGGTGAGAACCTTTACATGTTTCCCACCACTGATTTTATCCAGAATTTGATAAGCGCAAACAAAATCGTAAACAAATAATGAACAACCAAAATGGAAATTTATGTTTCTGAATTTTGGAAAAACTTAATAAAAAAACAATGAATTCAATCTCAGTTGATTTTTAACTACACATTATTTTCAAAATTTCATAAATCAATGTCGACACGTTGATAAAAATTCTCCTATTAAATATGTACTTAAACCTTAAGCGGTTTTCCACTTATCCAGATTTTGATAAGCATAAAAAAGAAATTGTAGACAGAACAGGAAAAATTGAAAATCTTATATTTCCAGCGTTTTGAAAAACTTGTGTAAAAAACTTAAAACAAATCTCCAATCGAATCTGAGTTGCTTTTTAACTACACATTATTATCAGTAATCTACAATTTGACGTGAAAACCTTGACAAAAATTGTACCAATAAATTTTTGCACTAAATACTAAAAACCTTTACGCATTTTCCTTCACTATTCGTTGGAAAATAGTTAAGCGTGATGGATTGGTGGAATCGATGGCGGGGAATTGACACCGAATCCGGTACTGTGCATTTTTACGCCCATCAATTCCCCGTCACCGATTTCCCCCCATCGATTCTCACCCCACAAGTTCCCCGCTTTATCAATTCCCCGCCATCAATTCCCCGTTATCAAATTCTCACCCGTCTCATGAAATGGCAACAATGCACCAAAGCTGACGCTACCAAAACCATTCACTTTAAAAGGTGATATGATAAAACGATCAAGCATGAATATTATCTGCTCCTTTAAAAAAACATCGTACAATATTGGTCAGCTATAACTTTGTGTGTATGTACATATGTACAAGTACAAATTTTGAGATAAATTCAACTGTTAATAGTTTAATGTAAAGCTAATTTTTTGTACAACAGGACCTTGATGTTTTAAAAAAATAATTTATTTATTTTCCAGGAAATTTATTGTGACAAAAACGGTAAATAAGTAAGCTAATTTCTTAAAAGTTCAACGTTTTGTACTACAAAAAATAGGTTTGCCCCAAATTATTCAAATTGCATCCCTCTCAAAACTCATGAAGTTGATGCCATTTTAGAATTTGCATTTAAAGAAATTGAACAAGGGTTGAGTGAAACTAAAAACTCTATGATGAAGATATCGGACCTTA